TGTGAGTTTGAGTCTCAGCTTCATCTATTAATGTGACCTAGGTCTCTGTCTGTCTGTCTCTCTCTCTCCTTTTTAATTAAACTGCATGGGGATAGAGTGGGAATTTCCTTCCCCCAACAACCTTTGGTCAAACTGGGGTTGAAGCCAGCAGTCAAGAATTCAATGCAGATCTTTCAAATGAGTGGCGACCTCAGTACTTGAGTCATCATTGTGGCTTTCATGTGCATTTTTGGGAAACAGAATCAGCAGCTAGAGCTGATAAAAGAACCCGGCCTGTTTCCTAATCTCGAGTCTAAGAAAAGATTACTATCCTACGATATGAGTTACTTACACTTAGATAGGCCAACTTAGCTTCTTTCCACGAATGCATGTTTGTCTTGTACTGATTCTTGGCTGAGATAAAGGTAATGAGGTAATTAATGATGTATGATTTGCTGTTTATAGCTTGAAAACCCCTCGGGAGCATCCTGGAATAATGTGTTTATGATTCACACTTGGAGGAATTACATAGATAGCCTCACTTGGCTATGGGACCACAGGGGCACCAAAATTCTCATTGGAGATCTTTTGGAAGCTCCCTTGAAATCAGGATTCCATGTATAAATCTTGGTGGCCTATACTCTGAGGGTCAGAAAAGCTAATGCTACGTGATTAGGAAGGGACCCTGGGAGCTGCACCTGAGTGCAGCTGTATTCTGTTCTGTTCTGCTGTATTTTTACTGGAGGCTTTTAGTAAATGTTTCCTGCAGAGTGTTACACATCCTTTCAAAGACCTGGTAATGTAAAATCGTCACAAGTATCTTCTTATAGAATTATTATAAAGATTAAATACTGGTACCTGGACTATACTGTGTGCTGTTTGGTCTCCTTAATCATTTTTCTGGGTAAAGTGTCCAGACTTCTTTAACAAACACACCATGCACTAGTAATATAACCCATGGTTACCAGAAGTTTACCTAGTGCTAAGTAAGTAGAGAAGTAGATTTTTCACACAATACTATGAAAAGCTTAATAAATGCATACCTGTACCTTTTTGAAAATAGAGAAAACATGAAAAACAATTCAAATTATATAGTGCTAAACTTACCACTCAGAGAGCTAACTTTTAAAATGTAACTTACAATAAAAGGTTTATTTTATTTATTTAGAACTATATCTATATGGGATGCCAGCATGGCAGGCTACAGCTTTTCCCACTATACAACAGCACTGGCCCCTAAATACAGCAATTTTGATCAAGAAATACATAGCACTCTTTTGGAGTATGCACTATTAAAAGAACAAGAGTCTTTTCTAAGAAACTTTTATTTTCCTATTTAGTTGTTAATGTGAAGCATCATGAAAACATAATCATTGAGTAATGAACATGGCAGTAATTCCTTAATCTTTGTAGGTATTAAGTATTATGAGGCTATAGGATATAAAATTTAATTTGATAATCAAATGAGCACACTGCCCAGCACATGAGAGAACCATGTCTGGGGGCAGATTGTGTGCGGAGTTCAGATTCTGGTCCCACCCCTGTGGAATTGCAATTTTTACTAGTTTGCTTAAGAGCTGGAAGTTGAGAACAGGCCAGGCTGGTCCAGGCTTCAGCACCTATAGGTATACCCAAGAACAGAGTTTGGGATAGGACAGGCCGCAACATCCATCAGCACACACAAAGGCCAACACTACAGAAAACTATGCTGGGTAAGGGCCTAGCACCCGTTGGGACATAGGATATCTGGGTCGGGGAATGGGCCTGGTGCAGGAACTTGGGGAAATCTAGCACCCGCTGGTGCTTGTGAGAACCAGGGTAGGTGTAAGACAGGCTGGACTAGGTCTTAGCACCTGCTGAACCATGCAAGAACTGGGTCTGGGGGTTGACCACGTCTGTCAAGTTTGGCCAATGACCCACTGGTGTGCATGAGATCTGCCACTGGAAAGTGACCTGATAGAGGAACTTGGGAAAACTCCTCAGTCACGATGTAGTCCCTGTAGGTGAGTACAAGAATCAAGACTGGGAGCAGTCCAGACCAGGCCAGGTTATAGTATCCATTGGCATATGTGGGGTCAGGATTTGGAATGGGTCATGCTGGGTCAGTTTATAGCACTCACTAGCAAATCTGACAACCAGGACAGGGTGTAGGAGGGGTTGGGTTGGGTCGAACACCAGTCACTTCACGCTGGGGCTGGAACTGAGGACTGGCTGTGCTGTGCTAGGATGCAGCACCTGCCAGCATGTGCTAGAACTGGGGGTAGGCTGGAACCAGCCAGGCTTTGACAAATGCCGAGGTGAGGTAGGCCATGCCAGACTTGGCTGTAGCACCCACCAGCACACTTAAGACACATTAAGGTAGGCCCGGTAGCATGGGAGTGAGGACTTCCCTGTTGGGCTACCGTTCCTGCTGGTGAGCATGAGAACTGGGACTGGGGGCAAACTAGGCCAGGCAGGGCCACAAGACCCAATGGCTGGCATGTGAGCTGATTTATGGGAGAGCCAGTCTGGGCTAAGAGACTGTATCCACTGGTGCATGACTGAGTCAGAGTAAGTGCAGGCTCAAGTAAGCCCAACTGCTTTGCTGCAGCAAAAGTGTTGGGCTTTGCTTAGCAGGTGCTGGGACTAGGGGAAAGTCCTGTCAAGCTAGACTGCAGAATCACTGGAAGGTGCAGTATTTGGGACTGGGTTGGACTTAGAAGGGGAACTGTGGGCACCTCTCTAATGGGCCGCAGCACACACTGGTGGGTATAAGAACCAAGGCTGGTGGTGGACCTCACTAGACAGGCAGTGACACCTTCCGGCGTGAGGGTGGGCAGGATAGTGGGGACTGTTGGGCTGATCTAGGCTGCAGCACCCTTTGGTACGTACAGAAGCCAAATGAAATGTGGGACAGCCTGGGCTAGTCTGTTGCACATACTGTTATGTGCAGGAACAAGGGTTGGAGGTGGTCTATCAGGCTGTTGCAGGTTGCCCTGACTCCTGTAGTTCTCACTGCTGTACATTATAGCTGAGTGTGTGGTTGCTAAGGCTGGGCTGGGCTGCAGCATCCATTGATTTGTCTAAGACATATGTCTGGGGACAGAAGTGACCTAACAACCACAACCACCAGTGTGTGTATGAGCCAGACTCCGTACTAGCTAGCACACACAGGAGTCAGATCTGGGGTCACCTCAGATATAGTTTCTTTGGGGAAGCCTTGCAACTGAGCCACTGGACTCAGAACTCCAATCATGGGGAGAATTGCAGGATCTGTGATGTGACTGTGGGATGCATGCATTGGGACTGGGTCTCTTCATTTGCTGAAGATGGTGAAGTGGACAGCATCTGCACATATACATGGGGGATGTGGTGGTCCATTGAGATCTGCAGAGGACATCTGGTGCCATGGCAGAGGACAGAGAGCAAAGTTGGACAACTCTCCCAGCCAAGCATTGTCAGCAAGTATCTGGGTGGACTAAGTCAGCCAATGGACATTGGAAAGACTTCCTCATCTTTGAAGCAATGAGATCAACAGCATTTCAGAACTATCAAAACCATTTAAGCACAACCATTGGAGACCCTCAGATCTCCTGCTTGGCCATTCCCCATCTCTGGGTACTGATGCAGTTGGGATGCTGGGTGCAGCTTCTCCTCTTCTCCTCCCAAGAAACTTGGAAATAATGGTCTCATGTGCTTTCCCCTATTCCTTGGCCCTTCCCACCCTAATCAGTGGTCCACAAGAGCATGCATCCTTCTCAACTAATGTAAACATCATAGCAGGTCATGAGATATGAATAAAAGGATAATGAATTCAATAACTACATTCAAAAAAGCAACAACAAAATGAACTCAAGCTTCAGTTTGCTACTTTCTTATATACCCACGAGAAAAATGACTATTAAAACTTAATATGAAAAACAATTAGGATACAAAAGTGATTTGGTTTTTCAAGAAGATGGAGATTAATGTTAAGGTTTTTTTATTGCTCTTATATAATATCTTAAAGAACAGTCTGTGGTATCTAAATAGATGTAAATAAAAGAATATCATATTAATAAAATTATACAAACAAAATGATGAAAGTCATAAATATAAAATTGGCCTGTGAATACTGACAATTGTGCCAACAACATTTCACCACAGATTTGGGAAGAATTGTAAGTTTGAGGACTGCGGTAGAAATTAAATTTTATATGGGACTAATTCAGACCACATAGGATCAAATGAACCACAGTTATTTAAAACATTTCAAAGGAACTTTTTACATTTAAGATAATTAAAAATCCAGGAAACCTGAATTTCTAGTATGTTCATTGTCATAAATATAATTCTAGAGTTTGCTGTAAAAGTGACACAGTCAGGCACATGCATAAATGGCTAGAATTCTGACAGCTATAATGATAAAATATACTTGCTCCAAACAAATCACACTGAATTGACAGATATATAAAGGGATTTTAAACTATTAATTAAAAAATGCACACATTCTCTAACTTCCGTGCTTTTGGCTAATAGGATAGGATTAAATGTAGACCATTAATAAACAATAGACTACCTTGGAAGAATTATTTGAAATCATATAAAGCAAGAAATAATTTAGAATAATAGATGTTCTCACACCACACAATCATTCCCCAACTAATTCCTATCCCTGAATAAATGCTTAATAGTTACAATTGAGTCCAGAGAGAAGTCTAGTAATGAGTAACTTTTAATCTCCTCTTTCTGTTTCTATGAAACTCCCAACCTCATGAACAAATTCTGTTGGTGAACAGATGCTGTGTATGAGCTCACAGGAAAAAGTAGACTTTTTCCCCTTCTCTCATCAGCAATATCCTGATAATGAGTGGCTAAGAAGAAGGAATACCTTTCATTTTGTTTACCTTTATTTCTCTTGGCAGCATCACTGAAGGATCATGACAAGTGTTATGTTTATATATATTTTTACATCTCAAAAGCAGAATTTTAAAAACTTTAAGCTTGTATGATTATTTTAAAATGAAAAAAAAGAGAAGGATTTGATATAAAAACCAACTCACCAATGATGCCGCTATCTCTGCTCTCAAGGGTGGAGGTCGGACTGGTGACAGCGCCATAGCTGCAGTCCTTGGCAGTTGCGTTTGTACTAACAGGTGGGAGGGTGGAGCAGGGACTACCGGCTGGTGGAGAGGCAGTGCTGCTAGTCAGGGTGGAGCAGGGACTTATCCGCTGGGTGATGGCTGAGGTCTGAAAAATTGGAATCAAGAAAAAAGTACATGCTTAGCCACGTAAAGCATGTTACAGCAAAATAAATGCTTTGCTGACGAAAGAAATAATCTGCCTGTAAGCCTTTTCTTTTAGGTGCCATCTGATTTTATTTTCCAAGATGGGAAATGTCCAGTGACAGCTATGTTTTTTTTAAAAGCTTTATTTTATTTTTTTGTTGGAAATTCAGATATACAGAGAGGAGGAGAGACAGAAAGGAAGATCTTCCCTCCGATGGTTCACTTCCCAAGCGGCCGTATCTGTTGGAGCTAAGCCAATTTGAAGCCAGGAGCCCCTTCTGGGTCTCCCATGCGGGTGCAGGGTCCCAAGGTGTTGGGCCATCCTCTTCTGCTTTCCCAGGCCACATGCAGGGAGCTGGATGGGAAATGGGACTGCTGGGATTAGAACTGGTGCCCATATGGAAACTGGGCGCATGCAAGGTGAGGACTTTAGCCATGAGGCTATCATGCCAAAGCCCAGTGACAACGATCTTATTTTTAAAGTACTCATTAAAATAACGAGTACCCATTAAAACATGAGAGAATTTTAAAAAAATAATTAAGTACATATTTTTCTTGCTATTTTCAATTAACAAAATCCTTTATAAGGTTTGGAAATTTGAGAATTTCCTCTGTACTGAAAATGAAGCAATACTTGGGCAGCTAAGGCTTTTCTTTGATAAATAAGTACCTGCCGTTGCCAATAAACACATGTAACAAAACTGCCTGATATTCAAAGTTTGTCTCATCAAAATAAATCAAGCAATACTAATTTAATATAAAATTAATCATTTCATATCTTGGGAGATTCTTACACCCCATTTATAAGTTTCTCATGTGAAGGAATGAGTAGTTATCAGAAAGATGGTAATATTCATGTGTTTCACCACACCTACTTTAACGACAATTCACTTTTCTGTTGCATCACTGAAACAGTAAATAAAAGTACACATTTCACACATTAAATGTCATCCTTTTCAAAATGGGAAGTGGTCAGTGGAAAAATTATTTGAAGAAGCATTCAAATCCCATGCCAAAAGTAAAGATTCACATTTAATAACCAAAAACATGTGGATTATTAACTATGAGAATATTAAGGATCTTCAACTCACTCTAAAATGATTTCTAGATGCAATCTCTTATATTAAGTCATATGTGTTGAGCCCAGGTTTAATTTGAACTTAAATACCATTATCAAGTGATAAAAGAACTGAGTCAATCAAGTGACATTCTCATTACCCTGCACATATATCAGCCTAAAACATCAGGAACTGATTTTTTAAAAACACATAAGTCTTCACAAGGTTTACATTTCTATTCTAAATGACATCTCTGCAGGGGAGAGTACCAACTTTTAAGAATTTTCACTTTGTTTATTTGACAAAGACAGGCACACAGGGCTCCCATCCCTGGGTTCACTAAGCACACACTTGCAAAGGTGATGGCTGTGCCAGCCAAAGCTAGGAGCCAGGAAGCAAATCCACACCTCCTCCTAGGTGGCAGGGACCCAACTACCTGGGCCATGCTCTGGTGTTTCAAATGGAATGCATTAGTAGGAAGCTGGTATTGGCAAAGAGTCAGGATTTAAACCCAGACACTGTGGGATATGGGCTTCTAGACTAATAATCCAAATGTCAACCCCTCTATTTTTTATACAATTATGCTAACCCCACACAGCAATGATGCAGGATGAAACTTTTCAGAAAAAAAGAAAATTGTTCATGGTCCATGTCTGAAAAGGCAGCCCTTATTTTTTATTTCAGGAAGCTTGTTAATAAGATACAGAAACACAGCATTATGTCCCATGCAACAGTCTGAAATGGGTATACAGGCAAGCCACTCCATTTCCAAAGCCCCCATGAGACCCACCTACAGACACTGGAGATCACTGCAAGGTAATGGCCAGTTTGATGTCATTTCCAATTGTTTGTCTTTTATATGAAAATGACATATACTGACCTGTTCATGTTAGATTCTGTCATCACGAACACTTTTCTAAGGATATCATCAATAGTTTTTTAAGCATACCAACCTATCTTTTGAGGAGGTTGTCTAGCTCACAAAAAAGTCACCAAAGGCCCATATTCCCCAGTTCTTAATATTGTGTATTACACTACAAATTCCAACAATGAAGTAAGATCTTTTATTGTAATTCTAAGACAGTTTCAGGATCTATCACATTTCCAGAAAGATGTCATTTAGCTTCTGAATGAACAATTGACATTTATGTAATGCTTTACAGTTGAAAACATTTTTATATATTATTTCATGTATTCCTTATCAAACTGATAAGCAAAACAAATATTATCCTCCATTTTAAAAAATCATGAAAATCAGAAAATTAAAAGCATGAAAGACAGGAAGCAATTGCCCCCAATCCATCCAGTTTCACATATACTTATAATCAGTCCTCTGTAGGTCATTAAAAAAAAAAAACTCCCATGGTTGGAGTTTTTAGCCTAGTGGTTCAGTTGAGTGGATTCCCAAAGAGATCTTGTCTGAAGTGATCCCAGAATTGACTCCTGTGTGTGCTTGCCAATAACAGGGTCCAGCTCTGTCCATCACTCACATCAGCCTATGCACATGCTGGTAGTTCATTCAAAATTAATGACTGTTATTGAGCCTGTCTTTAGCTATATCCTCCAAGGTTTATTATACTTAATGTCCCAATTGCAGTTCATAGCATTCTCTAATTTCTTCTTGAACTCAAAGGTTGTTCAGTAATTTTACAGTTTCCTCTTCACTCAAAAGGTATTACTTAACAACTAGATATTTGGAGATGTTCCGAGTTAACTTTGAGCTGTCATTTTCTGTTATCATTCTGCATCTAGTTAATTCTACTACAGTTAACAGTAACTGAAATTAACATGGCGAATTATCATGTGCACCTTAAAAGAATGTGTAATCTGCAGTGTCCAGGTACAGTTCATACTGTCAATTTGTTTTTTTGGCTGCCTTGTTGGCTTGCTTATTTATTTTATTATTCAAAGTAAATGAACCAAAACCAAAAAGTGATCTTTTGGTGTTTTTAATCCAAAGATGAAACTAAAAGATATTTTATATACTGAAGGAATATAGTGGTTATGGAAAATTAAGTTATTTTGTAGATTACCAATATATTAGACAGTTTGGATTATTCCTCTCAGGATGAACACATACAGAGTCACTTTTTTTTTTAATAATAAAGGGGTTCATATAATGTTTCACAAAATTGACAGCAAGCAGCTTACCTGATTTTCATCCTGAACTTCCATAACTTCTGTGACTTTCTCTCCAAGGAGGAAACCCAGGCGAGTCATGAGTGTGTTTGCTGCCTCATCTACAGATGGAGGGGGTCCCAGCTCCTGCTCAGCATCACCTAGCACAAGAAGGCATTGAAAAGCATGAATCTTTCCAAACAAAACGGTCCAGTTCTGTAACTGTTCTTTCTTGGCAGCAAAGCTTATGCTTCCGTCAAGACTAGGCATTTCTTTAGTTTGCACATTCCAAACTCAAAATGACAAGGTCCTTGTGCCCCAGGTGATATCTCTACTTGTAACGATGACACCTGCTTACGCGTCATCCCCCGAAAGGAACCCTGCATACGGAACTTCCCATTTCCTCCTCTCACCTAGAAACTCCAACTCTACTTTTTGCCTCTATCAAGGTTCCTGTCCTCGCAATCTTTTATAAACGGAATGATACAATCTTTTATCTTTTTCTGTCCAGTTTATTGCACCGTAAAGCTTTCAAGATTTTTAAAAAAATAATATACCAGAATTTCATTCCTTTCTATGGCAGAATAATATTTCATTGTGTATTTCATATATTTTTTACTCACTTATCTGTTGTTGGATACCTGGGTAGATGTTGCCATTTTTCAGCTATTAGGAATAATGCTACTACAGGCACTGGACATTTCTGTTTAACTCTTGTGCTGCCCCTCCTGGAACAGGAATCATCGCTTTGCCTGGTGTATGCACTCTCATTGCCTGCTCATTAGTCATTTAGTGGCCATCTTGGTTTCCAGATGGACTGACGTGGTACTGCAGGGCTTGTGTTTAAGTACCCCATATGTATTTTTTAAGATTTATTTATTTTTATTGGAAAGGCGGATATACAGAGACGGGGAGAGACAGTGAGGAAGATCTTTCATCCCATGGTTCACTCCCCAAGTGGCCCTAATGAGCCAATCCAAAGCCAGGAGCCAGGAGCTCTTCTGGGTCTCCCACGTGGGTGTAGGGTCCCAAGGCTTGGGCCGTCCTTGACTGCTTTCCCAGGCCACAAAGCAGGAAGCTGGATGGGAAGCGGAACCACAGGGATTAGACCCGGCGTCCATAAGTGATCCTGAGTATGTGCAAGGTGAGGACTTTAACCACTACGCTATTGCGCCGGGCCCAAATACTCCATATTTTACGAATGACCCCAAAGTACAAGACTTGTGATGCCTTGTAATTTAGAGCTCTAAAATTCTCGATTTCTGGCATTCATTTTGAGCCTCTTTTAAAGATCGCCATCCTCCTAGACAATCAGTTTTTCTTACTTTGACTGAGAGATAACAGAGCAGAGTCAGTAGGAGTTTCTTTCTTCTATCTCTCTTTTTTTTTAATCACTCTCTCTCTAAAGACAAACTGCTTTCCCAGTAAAGGATTCACAGAAACCACATTAAAATGAGCCAGAGAACTGAAATGATCTATTACAGATGTAATACATGAAAACTTCAGGTAGGGCCTGCCTGTCGATGTTTTCTGAAGGTTTTAAGTTCAGATATATTTAATATTAGCTAGTAACAATCCACAGAGGAACAGGTTTTATAAAACATTATAACAAATTTTCTATGGAGTCAGATACATTCTTTAACCAAAACAAGTTTTAACTGTAGTGTTGCATGATTACAAGCGAAAACAGAACTTCTTACTGTTTAGGATACTCAGTAATATACATCTTCTACCAATAGATTAAATTGTTATTCTGCATTTTAACACTTTGCTAATGAAGTCACTAGTTTGGGTCAGAAAGTATACATATATGTGCATACCAGCACTAAAATGAGTGTTTTATCTGTGAAAAATCTACATAAAATTCTAAATTATGTCAGAGTTAAAATGAGCCTCTTTTTTTTCCAACTCTTCTCGCTAAGAAGCAATATAGACAGATTTTTCTGCTGCAGAAATAAGAATGGCAAGATTGTTTTTATTTAGATTTATATTTTTTTAGATTTAGATTTATATATTAAGCATTTAGATTTATATATATATTTTTTCCTGCAGAATGGACTGAATGCTTGTTTTCCATGATAAAATGAAAAGGTAAAATTACTCCTTTCCAATTTATGAATAATATTGCCTCTCCTGATAGCTTAAACTAGCTTTTTTCCAATTTGCTCTGATTTCTGATTCCAGACCACTTCAATCTCTTCTAGAAAGCTATCCTGATAATTATCACATATATTCTATATACACCAAGTAGTAAGATAATTTATATGACATAGAGATATATATGGGTCATCAGTATTCATACGTATTCATAGTAATATACAAAGAAAATAAGATGGGGCCCGGCGCGGTGGCGCAAGTGGTTAAAGGTCGTCGTCTTGCACGCCCGGGATCCCATATGGGCACTGGTTCTAATCCTGGCAGCCCCGCTTCCCATCCAGCTCCCTGCCTGTGGCCCGGGAAAGCAGTAGAGGACGGCCCAAAGCTTTGGGACCCGTGCTACCCGCGTGGGAGACCCGGAAGAGGCTCCTGGCTTCAGACTGGCATAGTATCGGCCCGTTGCGCTCACTTGGGGAGTGAATCATCGGACGGAAGATCTTCCTCTCTGTCTCTCCTCTCTGTATATCCGCCTTTCCAATGAAAAAATAATAAAAAATAAATCCTTAAAAAAAAAAAAAGAAAATAAGATGGATCATTATTACATGATTTATTTAACATTAAGTATGGGATCTTTAGAAGAAAATATATATGATGTATGCTAATCTTTAGAAGTATAATTATGAAAAATAAGAAATCCATTCTTACATTAATAAAAAATTGTTAAAAGAAATAAAAGAAATTAAAATTTGTCTGGATTTTAATTTTTGTAACAAAATAAGCATGGTATTATTTAAAAAAAAAGGATTCATTTCTTTTATTTGAAAGAGATACAAAGAATCAGAGCCAGGAAGAGAGGTCTTCAATTCACTGGTTCCTTCCTCAAATGGGAGGAATGAATACAATGGTTGGGGATGAGCCAGTCTGAACCAGGGAGCCTGGAACTGCATTTTAGCCTCCCACATGAGTGACAGGGACCCCAAGCTTTTGAACCATCTTCCACTGCTTTCCCAGGCACATTGGTAGGGAGCACCTGGGACTCACTAATCCCCATGTAGGCTTTTGGTATTGCAGGCAGTAGTTTAACCCACTATACCACAATGCTGGTCATAATAAACATCATTTAATTCCATTTTCCATGAACTTTTGGAATATCCATGTTTAATACTTATTTTGTAACAGCAACTAAACATTTCACAAACATTAACTTACATTATTTTCATGCATTTTACAAATGAAGGAACCAAGCTGCAGAGAAATTAAGTGACCCTTTCAAAGGTACAACCAGGAGTGGGTATTTGGTACAGTAGCTAAGCTGCTGATTGGTCACCCACTTCTCACATTGGAGTGTCTGGATTGGAGTCTTGGTCCCTGGTCTCTGGCAGATGAGTGTTCCTGCTTCTCTCTCATTCTCTGTCTTTGTTCTTCAAATCAGTAAGTAAATAAGTCCCAACATCTAAACAAAATCACTTAACCAGTCCATAGTGTAGCCAGATGTTCCCCCACACAACACAGTGTCCTGCATATTCTTCTATAAGATCTATAATCTTTTCTTCTACATATTCCCTGATGATAACTCTACCTATTTCCTTTTAATTTAAATCTCTAATACCCTAATTCTTATCTCTGGAAGTTCCTATTGAATTTTTTTTTTGTTTCAACATACTAAAATAAGTTCTCTATCTTTGAAAACACACAAAACCAATACTATCGTAATATTTTATTGCTTGCCTACTAATTCTATCCACTGGTGTATTGGCTAATGCCAATTAATATTTTCCTCTTAATTATAGGAGGCATTTTATTTCTTTACATGGCTGGTAATTATTAACTCGATGTCAGACACCGGGAATATTTTACCGCAGTGGCTGCTGGGTATATCGTATTTCTGTAAGTGCTCCTCAGATTTATTACACGCTATGACAGTGTTTCTAACACTTATTTCAATGGGTTGCCTCATGATTTTCCTTCTAATAGCTTAGATCTCTGTTGAATATTCACATTACTATTTTCTTCTTTTTTATATCACTAAGTGCTATTTACACTCATTTGTTAATTAGCTTATTTTATTGACTGTTCAACTAGAACATAAGTAGTTGGGTCATGCTTATTCTTTTGACTGATTTATCCACAGATTATAGTGTACTTATTGCCTAGCATATAATAAATATTCAATAAACTCTGACTGATTAAACTAGCCCTATATTTACACCAAAAAGATTTATGTGTTTTATGAAAATGTTATGCTTAAACACAAAAGAAATTATGCTTGATGTTATTGTATTTTCTTGCCTTACACGAAACTTACACAGGCTAGAAAATCTCTAATATTCATTTCTTTTTGTTCGCCAGCTCTAACTTGGGTACTTTAACACAAAAATTGAGAGCATGGCCTGGCATGGCCTCCTAGAGGCTAAAAGTCATATCCTTGCACATACTGGGATCCTATATGGGCACTGGTTCTAATCCCGGTGGCCCCACTTCTCATCCTGCTCCCTGCTTATGTTCTAGGAAGGCAGTTGAAGTTACACTTTCCATGTTGATTTCCTTATATAAGAGAGAACATATAGTATTTGTTCTTTTGTGATTGACTCATTTCACTGAGCATAATGGTCTCTAGTTGGGACCACCTGGTTGTAAATAGAATAATTTCATTCTTCTTAATAGCTGAATAATATTCCATGGAGTAGATGTAGCACAGTTTCTTTAACCACCCTTCCTTGGACGCACATCTGGTTTGTTTCCATGTCTTTGGTATTGTAGATTGTGCTGCTGTAAACACAGGATTACAGATCCCTTTCACATACGCAATTTCACTTCTATTGGGTACATTCCTAGGAGCGGGATAGCTGGGTCATTTGGCAGGTTTATTTGCAATTTTCCAAGCACACTCCATACTGATTTCTACAGTGGTTGTACTAGCCTACACTTCAACCAGCAATGAAGGAGGGTGCCTTTCTCCCCACATCCACGCCAGCTGGTGTTGTTAGTTGAGTTTGGAACGTAGGCCAGTTTCACTGGAACCTCAACGTGGTTTTCATTTGTATCTCTCTTATGGCTAGGGAGC